CCCCCCGAGTACTGAAATTCAGAAAGCTTTCCCTCTCTTGTCTTGGTTGCAGAGGGACTTCTTTCTTCTAAGGCTCTTTTAATCTCACAGGTCCTCTTCTATTGAAAAATGGTTCTGGTAACCCAGCTCTGACCCTGGTGTGCTGACTCCTGATGGAGTAGTCTTGATTCTCCATGCTTTGTGCAGGTAGAAACACACACACACACACACACACACACACACACACACATACATATATATACATCACATACATTATATACTCATATACACATGTTCATATATATACGTGTGTTTTATATACACACAGATATATAGTATTGCATGTTTACACATGTTCATATATACACATGTGTTTTATATACATGAAAATATATAGTATATGCATATTTGCATGTGTTCACATATATACACATAGGTGTGTGTATATACATCTGCATACACATGCTTGCCTTTATCTTTGAAAGCTTCAAGCACTTAGATTCCTTCTATGAAGTTCAGATATATTTTTATATCTCACAATGCATACTTATAAGGACACACACATGCTCATGTGTGCTGAGGGCCGGCTTCTTGCTGTGTCCTCCCTTCACCTTTCTTCTAGTGCATGCACAGAGACTCTGGTGCCTCTTTCTAGCAAGGTTGTCACACTTAGTGGATGAGAGCTTCACCCTATGGCCTCAGTTTCTACCTAAAGGCCCTGTCTCTAAATACAGGCACACTGTGAGTCAGATTGTCATCATTTGAATGGGGCACAGCCCTACGTGGAGAGAAAGTGGTCTGGAAAGACAAGAGTCACAGATAGAACTAGTCAGAAGTAAGGTCTGAACAGTGGAATCATGTGTAATCATAGATGAGAATCCCATGCATGCGTGCGTGCATGCGTGTGTATTCCACACTTATTTTCTATACATTAGTATTTGTTACTTTGTGGTTGGGAAGGTTGCTTTTGAGCAGCAATGCCTATCTCCCCGAAGTAGCCTTTTCTTGCTAGCTGTTTTTCTAAGCTCTGTTGCTATAGGGATGATTGAGTCTCTTCATGATCTCACCGCTCTCCCATCAGGATCCTTTGACAGTTCATACTGCCTTGTCACATAAGTACAGGAGCTTTGCTCTTTCCAGTACAGGCCGGTACCTTGGGCACAGCCTCATAGGATGTGGTGTGTGTGAACAAAACATTTAGACCTAAGTCTACCAGGACCACAGAGAGGGAGCATGGAGGAGGAGGGAGCAGGGCAGGAGTTCACACTTCCTGCCCTCCATAGGTCTCAAAGAATCTTTTTTGAGGTGATGTTTAAATGTCACCCAATAGAAACAGATGTGGATAAGTTCAGAACCATTTCACTTGAAGGGGTTGGGAAGATGTGATGCTTTATGACTTTCCCTTTTCCCTCCAGCAGAGCCCAGCCCTGGCCACTTTCTGCTCTCCTCTGCCTAAATGTGCCATTTATTGCCTCTCTCCAGTTTCTTGAAATGCCTTTCTGTTCATCTCAAGCAACTCAGAGGACCATACAGTTGCCGTGTGTACAAGGGGATGTGCTTTATATAAATTCCTGGGGGGGCTGTAAGAGTGCCCCCCACTGGAGCAGGAGGAAGACTGGGAGTAGCCTGCCATTAAGCTCCCATTCTATCTCTGCCTCCAGCTCACAACCTCTGACAGTGCTGCCTCTTCCCTGGACTTCACTTTACTCATCTATAAAATGGTACTTTTTAATCAATCCTTCTGGAATCTTCCGGGTACGGCATGCTAACCTCAGACAGGAATCAGTATTTCCATGATATACTTTCAAGCTTCTCCCCTTAGACATCTCTCTCCAAGAGCCTGGAACCCACGTTGCGTGTGTGAGTCACTTTAGGGTTTGGTTAGAAGTCTGCCCTCTCGAGACCAGTAGGAGACTCATGGTCTGACTCAAACTAATAACTTGCGTGACTTTGGCAAGTTCCTTGACATCCTGAGTTTAGTACAACGTTTATGAACATATCAATGCCTCCTAGGACCATTGTGAATATTTTTATGATAACGTATAAACACATTCAGTTGTAGCCATCAGTCAATGGCACATTATTATCATTTACAATAAAGGTGAAAGTTTGGTTTCTCTCTTGGGGTTTCTGAGGACAGTAAAGCCACAGATGCAGAGAAAGTCTACAGAAGCCAAAAGAGGCTGGCAGTAGCCTCTTTCCTTACACATGAAGGAAACAGCTAGATTGGGGCTTATGTACTTAGGAAGACTACCAGGAAGCTGGCTCACCTTTGGGATACAGATGAAAAGGATCTACCACTTGGCTCCTGTCCACATCCCTTTGTCTCTGTATTCTAACCACACTGAAAACTTTATAGTCCCCAAACAGACACCTTCCATATATAATAGAAAATAGATTTGGCAGTAGTGACAGGAACCACCTCATCACCTCCCCTCCTCTCGCCCCAGACTTGCTGTGACAAGGTTCCAGGTCCGTCTATTCTTTATTTCACTGTTGTTGTCAGCCTATGACATCACGATGGCCACTCAAGCTCCAGAGGTCACACCCACATTTCAGGCAGCCGAAGGGGGAGGGTCACCTCCTGGAAGCCATGCTCTTTACCTGTTATTGGTTAGAATCAGTTACTTGGCCGTTTAGCTGCAAGAGAAGCTGACAAGTATTTATTTCGGATAGCCTCTTCTAGGTTGTCACTCGGTGAAATAAATATGAGGAAGGAAGAAAGAAGAGGCTTGTGTTGACAGTTCTCCGTTTTCTAGCATCTTCTAGCATCAGGGATCTGCACTTGTTCTCTGTGTTTGGAACATTCTTGCTCCCTTGACCCCCATGGTGTGGCATGTTCATATTTACCATGCCCTAATGATTAAACACCCCATTGTCATTCTTACCTTGTCTCTGGTATCATACTATTGTATGTTTAGCCATTGTTTCATTGTTGACCTTCTCTATCAGGCTGTGACCACCTGAAGGTCTGTGCAACCCTTGGCTCTTTAGCAACTGATCTAACGATACAAATCCTGGCCAACATGAGCTCACCACCATAACTCTTGTCTCACAGAAGAGCGTGCTCGGCAGAAGATCATATCTACAGGCTTCCAGGGGTCCTCTATCTGTAGGAAGGGACGGGAAGTTCCTAACATTGCTGTTCTTTGTACCACACATAAATCTCCCTTAGTGTCACTACCAGACACTGTAGTGATTCTGTGGGGTCTCTGCCCTAACACTGGTGACCGAGGTAAGAAGGGATTGTTGTAATTTTGTTCCACTCATTTTCAGTCCCTTCTCAGTCTGGTTTTTACCACATGTACCACTCACTTTTAACCCGGGAACCTCATGCCTGAGCTATTCTTTACAATGAGTGTTTGATAGATATCTCATATTACGTGTGCGTATGAGTGCATGCATGTGTGTGTGTGCGCGCGCGTGCGTGCGTCTTTGAAAAGGATGTAGCTCTCCTCATTATTAAGCCTTTAAGGCTAATCTTTCCTGTCTACTTATATTCCACATTTGATTTTTAAAGCAGTTCCTCTTTTGTGTTTATTTTTGAGGTTATAATCTAATTACGACATTCTCCCTTCCCTCCCTCTGAACCCTCTTATATACTCCTACTCGCTTTCCTTCAAATTCATGATCTCTTTCTTCACTGTCTGTTATTGCATGTGTCTATGTATTTGTGTATTCACATATACTCCTCAATATCCAGTCTGTCCATGTAATGTTACTTGTATGTGTGTTTTCAGAGCTTCTGTTTGGTCCTGGGCAACCAGCTGGAGTACTCTTCCCTGCTCCCAGCTTTCCTCCATCACCTGTAGTTCTTCTAGTAGGGCTGAAGCCTCCTGAGCTTGTCCCTGTCCAGGCTGACAAGTCTGTTGGTGTCTTCCTTGTTCAGCTCATGTTTGGGCAGTCATGTTGGTGAGACGTCACAGGTGGAGCTTCTGATGTTACTAGGAGACACACTCTCACAGTAGGTGGCAGATAAATATCTCTCAGTCTGCTGAGAACCTGCATCTGAAGTGCGCTTATTTTATTTTTTTAAGTATACTTGGTCCCTTCATGTGAGCTGCTGACTTCTATTGTTCAGCCAAGTGACCTTGTCTTGGTAACAGAGAAACTATGATCTGTATTGGCCCCTATGAAAGATGATGTAATCAGACTAGACTAGACTTTGTGAGTGGTTCAAAAGATTTTCGTGGATCCTCAATTACATTTAATAAGGACTTAAAATCCACTCTGACTTCTCCTGTGAGGCACAAGGACCCTCGCTTCAGAATATGAGCATTGGAGACCCAGGGTGGCCAAAGCAAGTCAATGATTTTGCAAGGCCAGGCATCAGCCCATCAGCCCAGAGTGACGGGCACACTGACTGAGTTCAGAGAACAGACTTAGAGCCCAGAGAGCCTGATTCTTCCTCCCTTTCCTCACTCGCTGGATCCAGAGTGAGTGTCCATGTCTTCTGGCTTGTCTTTCCCTCTGCTACTTATGTTTGTCTATTTCTTACCAAAGATAGTGGGTAGGTTCATTGTTAAATTTGTTGACATCTGGCGAGTGTTTATTTAAAACTTATCAGGCGTTTTACCTTGTCATGTCCCTGGTGCTTAACAGCTTGGCTGTTAGTAATTTGGCCTGGGCCTGTAGCTAGACTGGTAGAGGCTAGCTGGGACCCAGTATTCTCAGTATATCTGTAACTCGGCCCAAGCTTGCCTGTGGTATCTTTGAAAATGGGCCATTATTTTTTTGTTTCTCTACTCCTGGCACTGTATAGCTATAGGACAAGAGTGCTGTACCATTTTCACTGCAACCCTTTAGATTCAGGGTCGGAGCAGAACCCTTTCGACTCCATGCCTAACAGCTTGCTGTAAACACAGTTCTCGCAAGTATCGTTCCTGTCTTTCCATTGAAGGGAAGTGCTAAACCAGCTTAGGTCTCAGGTGGTACCAACTTGGTGATGTATCAACTGTTATTATGAGCCAAATATTTACACACAGGTGCTTATGTCACATCCTGTCTCTTTCTCCCTGCAGTTAATCACCACAGAAAAGCAGTTCCTGAAGAACAGCTTGTACCACGAAGGAATCCTCATTGTGTGGGACCCATCTTTGTACCATGCTGATATCCCAAGTGTAAGTGGACTGCCCATCTGCCGTTGGATTTGTTTTTATGTTTTTAAAGTCATGCCTGACTGAGCCATTCCTGGCTGTTTGGGTTTTAGGCAGCCCTCTATACGGTTGTGGGGGTGGGAGCTAGCAAACTCAGAATCCCCCCTGTCCTAACCAGCCTTTCTCGGTGCCTTCCCTGGAAGGTCATTTGCATATTTTCTGGAGAAGGTGCATATTGAGAGTGTTGGGAGACTGGGCCAGTGGTAACCCAGAGTAAGATCTGTTTACCAGTGCTTACTTACTGTGTTCATCAAGGCCACTTACTCCTGATGAATCCTGGTGAGAAAAGAACAATTACTGTTACTCCTATCAGTAATGCCACATTTCTGCTCCTCACTTCCGACGTCTAGAAGTCTTCTCATTTCACTCTTGTAACCCTATCAAGAGTAGGTGGAAGTGTGATGGCTCCCATTTTACACGTGGGAAAGCTAAGCATAGAAAGGCGAAGCCCGTGCCAGGACTCGATTTCCTAACTCAATGGCACAGATCTGCATTGTCCGTTGTTTTAGGGTAGAAGATCAGAGCCACGGGCCTGCTGGCTTCTCAGGCTTCCTGTCCCCTCATTTTGTGTTATAGATGTAGGTTAGCCTCTCTTGCCATAGGCTGTTGTCGCCTCGGGAGAATGGTTTTCCAGAAGCAAAATAGAAAGCACTTTTCCTGGCACACCAAATCCTTAAATGCCCACCGATGGCTAGTCAGCTGTGATAGTCACAAGTGCCTTTGCTTCTGAAGTCTCCAGTTTTCTGATGATCTTCGTTATAACCAAGTCTGCCTGGTCGGGTGAAGGACGACTCTGGAACCCACAAATGCAACAACTTGGGCCCCAATTTTCTCTCCTTCAATAGTAAGTGTACTTTGGTGTGCTGGTCCTAGCTACTGGGGAAGCTGAGGCAGGAGGATTACTTGAGACCAGGAGCTCAGGACAGTCTTTTTGCAAAAATAGCGAGAGCGGCTCAAAAACAAACAGACGAACAGCAAATAAAAGCTAGTTTAGATGGTGCAGAGACCCCCTTTCAGCTGATACCATTTTCAGCTTGGTGGCTCTGAAACCTGAGGTCACCAGTCCAACAGTGCTGTGAGCATAGACTACGTCCTGGTCCCTACTCCACTACCCACGAATGCTGTGATTTGGAGAAGTTTGTGATCTGCTGCAAAACAAGGCTGATGCTCTGGAAAGAGTGTTTATGCAAGAAGCACATTTCTTCACTGACCCAACCACTTCCTTTTTTCCCCCAGTGGTATAAGAAGCCAGACTACAATTTCTTCGAAACGTATAAGAATTATCGCAAGCTGTACCCCAACCAGCCCTTTTATATGCTCAGGCCTCAGATGCCATGGGAACTGTGGGACATCATGCAGGAAACCTCTCCAGACTGGATTCAGCCAAACCCCCCATCCTCAGGCATGCTGGGTGAGTCTGGGCCTGGAGAAGTCCTACGTTGTTTTCTAGAAGAAGCTGACTTTCTTCTTGGGTCTCATTCCTTCACCAGAACAGTTGTTCAGCTTGTACACTGTACTAAGTTCTATCTCAAGTAAGATGTGATTTTTCTTCTTCGGATGTCTGATGGGGGAGAGTCTTCTGTTTTGTGTTAATTTCATTGGTTAAAAAAAGAGACTGCCTTGGCCCTTTAATAGGACAGAAAATTAGGTGGCTGGAGAGATGGCTCAGCCGCTAAAGGCTAGGCTCACAACCAAAAATATAAGAGTTTGGGAAGGGAAAGCAAGCCAGGAGCACGCTGTGAAAGCCAGCGGGCTAAGTGCGAGCCCAGTCGCGCTTCCTGAGCTCCGTTAGCTGACTTGCCCGCAAAGGCTGGGAAAGATCGAGCTTGCGCCCCCGACCGCGCAGGGGCGGAGGCAAAGAGCCCCACGTTAGAGCGACAAAATGTAGCGGTGTAAATGAAGAAATTATAATAATATATTCAGCTTTAATTGGCTAAAGACTTACAGAACCCTAGGTTCCAACAGAGAACAGGAAAGCAGAAGGGGCGGGGGCGAGCACACCAGTAATATTTATTAGTAAAAAATATCCTCAGGCGACCCCGCCCTACAAGCAAGGTGATTGGCTGGGGCTACCCCTACAGATGTCTGCCGAGGGAGTTCAGTCAGGCATCTCAGGCCACATTGAGGAGTGGCCTTGCTGTTGTTGGAGAGAAGAACCCCGCTAGCTAGACAGTCGGAGATAGTTCTGTGGAGGAGGAAGGAGGGCTTAACATGGAGCAATAGTGTAAAGAGATTCACAAGCCAAGAGAAAGTGAGAGAGTGGGGCCTTGGATGAAGTGAGACCCTGGGCTTAGGTTTACAATTTAGAGAGGATGCCAAAACTATGAACCAAGTAATATGATTAATCTTACTATTAATCAAGATATTCAGTATCTTCAAAATTCACAATGCTAAAAAGTACAAAGAACAAAATGTTACATACTCAAATATCGACAGAAGTGGAAACACCACTCTGCAGAACGATGTTTGGAACCCGAGTCAGTTGTATCTCTCTTGCTTTGTGGATGTCACAACCCTAAGAGAAGATGGGCAAACTTGCCTGTGTGGGGTTATGTAGGAAGTGTGGAGCTGATGTGGGATGGCCTGGGCATTAGGATCCTGAACTCTGGTCAAAGGCTCTCTTCTTGAGCTCTTCCCATGCCTTCAGTTCTTACCACCCATCTATCCTTCCCTCCCTTTCTCTTTGGGTGGACCACTGGGACATTTCCATGAGTGTACAGGCTTTCCGGGCAGAGGGATGGACACTCTTTCGATGGATACCTGTAGTGAAACACTTTGAGCCAGATGGTTCCAGGGACCCACCCCTGTGCAATTTATCTGTCTGCTTCCCATACTGGGGACACTGTGTTTTACATATCCTTGTGGGATAGGCATTGGTAAATATTCCTAGGGTAAATGAGTAACTTTTCTATTCGGGGCAGAGATGAAAAGAAATTAGGCCCCTTGCAGTATGGCATCCCTTCTCTAACCTCTGCTTCAGCTGTTATGTAGGTGCATCTATGTTCTCCCTGGAACCTTTAGAGCAGCTACAGTTGACATGCCGAGGAACACACTTCCTGTTACCCCATTGCCCTGTTGTTGACCGGGCTGTCCCAGCTGTGACTGTTCTTCCTCCTATATACGCTGCCCCTTCACCCCACCCCAGTGCTCTCAGGCCTTGCTGAGGAGAAGTGTCTCTTCCTGACATTCCTAGGGGGTGCTTCTGTAGTGCCTACATCCATCACAGAGCTAACTTTTCTTCCTCATTGAGCCAGGAGCCATTGGTGGTCAGAAGTGTTTTTTTCCAGCATATGATTCTTCTAGAACATGCCACAATCTGTAGCTTCACTCCTGATTTGGGAGCTGCTCCATTTTAGAATAGAAGATACCCTCTATTATTAGTGACTGAAAAGGGCACCTTCAGTTGCGGTCTTACTGAACCCTAACAGTAATCTACACAGTAGAAGCATTGCATAGGCCTCCTTCTCAGAGCAGATACGAGACAACTCAGCCAGTCGGGATCAAGTCTGGGTGGCCATTAGTCCCCTGTGCCTGAATGAGCTTGCATCCCAGTGCGCCACCTCCCTGGACAGCACCAGTGTGGACCGTGCATTGGTTCTGCTTTCCTCTGGTCTCATACTAGTGAAGGGGAGAAATGTTCTGTCCTCAGAACTGGGTCCTATGGGTATTCTGTGAGTCAGTCTTCTTAACTGCTCTCCGTGAAGCTTTGGCCGGGCGTAGTAACTCTTGGAAGTGCTAAGTACAAGTGTCGGCATTGTTTCATGACTGTCTCCTTCCCATTGGCGTACTATAGCTTACTCCATCCATAACTTCATCGAGGGAGCCCTTTAATCCTATAGAATGGTGGAAGATTTACATGTACCAGACTGTCACCTTGGTGCTGGGGACAGGGCGCTATGAAATGGACCTGTCTGTTGGTCTTGACTTATCAAAAAAACAAACAAACAAACAACAACAATAACAAAAAAACCTAGGCTAGGAATCATAGGAATAGCTAGAACACTGGGTGGCTGTTCACCAAATTCAGGTACTGGGCAGAGTTCTGGGTTGCTTCCAGTTACTGGACATGACTCGCCTCTGCTTCTTTCTCTAGGTATCATCATCATGATGACGCTGTGTGACCAGGTAGATATTTATGAGTTCCTTCCATCCAAGCGCAAGACCGACATGTGCTACTACCACCAGAGCTTCTTCGACAGTGCCTGCACAATGGGTGCCTACCACCCGCTCCTCTTCGAGAAGAACTTGGTGAAGCATCTCAACGAGGGGACAGATGAAGACATTTATTTGTTTGGGAAAGCCACATTGTCCGGCTTCCGGAACATTAAGTGTTGAGCACAGGTCTCTAGCTGGGCACTCTGATTCTTCTCCTTAGGTTGTGTATATGGCTGGTCTCCTGGTTACCCCTGCTTGGAGGAGCGGTTTGTTTGTTTTCCCCAACAGGCCCAAGCCTGCTTCTTGCACTCTAGGGAATTTTGTTGGCAAGAACTCCTGGGCTTCCACAGCCTGATGGCAAAGGAGGCAGACCTGACCTTCCCTGCAGCCATAAAGGATAGGAGCTCAGATTCCTGCCACACACATTCCTCCTAGATAGCACCCTCCTCCCCTTCCACACGGGCAGGGGAAAGAGCCGCATTTCTCATCAGGCTTGTTAAAACCAGACTTTGTTTTTCCCAACTGAATGATGTCACCCTCACAAACCAGCACCCGCCCCCCTCCCCCACCCCCTACATAGATATCACTATCTCTACATAGATAGTAATTTCACATCTCCAAGAAACTCTCCCAGGCTTGGTTTGTGCCAGATGCAGGGTGGCTTGGGGAAGTGAAAGCAAATTGTTGGCACAGGAATCATGCTCAGTTACGCCAAAGCAAAATCATCCCCAAAGGCACTTCCCTGGGGACAGTGTCCTGTTGTCACCCTGTCTGGCTAGGCCGATCCTTGAGCTGGGGTGCTTCAGAGCAAAGGCTCTTGAGTGGCCCCTTTTTCTTCTCCTTCTCCATGTGGAGACCAAAGGAACAGAGACCTCCTGTCTCTGTCCTCAACCTGTTCACCGGTGAACAGAAGAGATGACACCCAACAGGAAGCTAGAACGCAAACATTCCCTGTGCTCGTGGGCACTGGGCTTTTGAGAGGAGGGGCCTGCTGTCTGTATGCCCAGGAGGAGCCAGCGTAGCCATGTTCTCATAGAGCCATGACATTGGGAAAGGGACACATGCCAAACAGAGTAGATGTCACCCGAGTCAGAGGAGCTGTGTTGTTCTTTCTCCCATTCTCATTCTCTAAGGCCTGTTAGGACATGGGAGCTAAGATATTTTTGTTAGGAAGCCCCTACCCACTTTGGCAGCAAGTGCTTCCCCACAGTGGACACAGGGGAGCCAGATAGACTGGGGCTCTTTTTATATTTCATTTTTTTTTTAATGTCAACTCTCTAACCTTCTGCTACCATTACTCTCCCGTAAAGCAGTCTCCCCCTCCCGGATTACTTTGGATCATTTTTCTGTTTGACAATTATCCTTACCCCCAACTTCTTTGACCTCATGGGCCCTCCATGGAAGGTCTCTCAGGGCGTGGGGACTACATTTTCCAGGACTTTAGGTTAGCATCTTAATCATACCTGATTCTCACTAGGCGTGAGGTGTGTGGTTGCTGATCCTCCTGCGCTTCACCAGCTCCCAGCAAGAGAGTGGCCTTGGTCTCTGGGCAGAAAGTTTGGCAAGCATACTCTTGCAAGAATTTTCTGAGACCTGTCTACCTGGTGGGGAACCACAATGGCCCACTCAGGCCCCTGTGTGGAGCGGCTCAGTGACTTGTTTATGGTCAATGAAATAAAATGAATGTGAACGAAGCAAGGTCACTAAGACAGTCCGCTGGCCTCCCAAGCCTGGCCCTGTGTGCTCACAGGGCTCCGGTGTTTGAACTTCAGACCCACGGTCCTTGAACTCAGACGCCTGTTTACTGCTGACCCCTTGCCTTACACAAGCAGACAGTAAGAAGCCTGAAGTGGAAAGCCCTGGGTTTTCAGGTTGACCCCCACTGACTCACTGTGCCACGTCACACAAAGTCTCTTCCTCGGGCCTTTGCTTCCATATCTGTTCAATAGGGGTGACAATCCTACCTCACAGGGCCATGTGGGGACCACAGGAAGGCTTATGGCTGGACTCTGTCCACGGTGCATAGGAAGTAGGTACCCTGCTGTCCCTTGCTGCAAGGGAGCAGGGCGGTGAAGAGGGACATGAAGTCTATTTTATTGTGAGGCCACTGCCTCATTCGCAACACCCAGGAGCCTGCCCCTCCTGGCTGCCCGCACCTCAGGTCTGTTTCTGCTCGAGGGTGCACCGGAGTGTTGGGCTGCTTGGCGGCTGTGTGGGGTGAGGCGAGGCCATCCCTGGCTTCCTTCGAGTTCTGCTCTCACATGCCCGTTCTAACTCATCAGGACTGGGGTAGAGTGCCACGGAGGCTGCTATCCTGTCGGCAGGTGGTACATGGCGACGTAGGGATGGGGACAACACTGGGTAGATTCTAGTTTTTTTTAACTATTCTTAATGTGAGGGAATAAATTAATTTAAGTGTAATATGATTCTGACGTCTGTAAACCTTTCTCTGTGCTCCGTAAATGTGGAGGCCTGAGTAAAGTAGACTGTGGCCTGGATGTGGGTGGTGGTGGTAGTTTGCTGATATGTTTAATATTTGAGACAGGCAGCTTCAAAATGTGTGATTTTGAAAGCCTCTGTCTACCTGGGCATTGACTTTAGTCCTAAGTCATAGGACCCTTCTGCCAATCAGATCTGCTGTTGCTCTTGGTTTGGGGTATGAGAGAGTATCAGAGACTTTAACAGCATACCTATTGATTCTAAATTATCCAAAGACCATACACATTTTAAAATAAATCATTTTTTTTTCAAAAATCTGCCTCCTCTCTTCATACCTGCTAAAGGGGTGAGCAGCCATCCACGCTTGTGTCCCAAGAAGACCCATCTGAAAAGCCAAGCCCCTGGGTTCCTCCAGCAGTCTCTGGCCTAAATCTCCCTTTCAACACTCCAGGAAAAGGTGTACAGGATACGTATTTATTGCAAAGGGTGGAATCTTGGAAATGTTGATGGTTTATTGATTCTTCTCCTGTTCACTCTTGCTAGGCACAGGAAATGATGCATTCACTCCCCCTACACCTTAGGACAGAGGACGGCTTGGAATGGGAGGAGAAACCCCTGCTCTGGATTCTAGAACTCTTCCATCCTTAGGGCAATCACGTTTTAAGGGAATCGCCAAGAGAGCCCAGAGAAAAATATTGAAGAGGAGCCGTGGTTTTGGCGGGGGTTTCTTTTTCTCTGAACCGCCTGCTTACAAGAGAAGGGCGTCTCCTGAAAGCCTTCATATTGAATTCCTAACTCCAAAACTTAGAATGGACCTCTGTGGAAATGGATCAAGGCAGATTTAATTATTTAAGATGAGGTCATGCTGCAGCAGCGTGGGCCCCTCCTCCAGTCTGACTAGTGTCCTCATAAAAAGGAGAAATCTAGAGTCAGGCGCACACAGAGAAAACACCATGTAATGATGAAGGCTGAGGTCGGGCTGATGTATAAGCCATGGAATGCCGGAAGATTGCCAGAAACCCGGCAGAAGCTGGGGAAGCCGCCTGGAACAGATTTCTGCCCCCACAGTCCTCAGAGGTGCTCCCCTCGATCTGGGAGTTCTGGCTTCTAGAAGTTTGAGACAATACACTTGTGTTGTCAAAGCCACACACTTTGAGGTGCTTTACACATTATAGCCCTTAACAAATCAAGCCTAATGCCTCTTCCCTCCACACCCCCGCCTTTTGTCACTCCCAGCTGCGGTTTCCTGGGCTGGGATGGGAAAGGACCCACAGGCTGTCGTTCATTCAAGGGTGGTGCCTGCTATCCAGCCAGGACTCTGGGGAATACAGCCATAGATGCTGAGGCAGTGGGTCTTCTCCTTCAGGAAGCCAGGCCCCTCAGCAGCCACCCAAGTCCTCCTGGTCGTCCAGAGAACCCTGAAGTTTATCTCTGACACTGCATCCAGTGATTTGGCTTTGTCAGCTCCTTGGACTTGTTCTTCTCCGTAATGATAGGGAAGCATTGTTTAGATGAGAGTTGGAAGCAGAAGTTACAAAAAAATATTTCTCTTTGGCCCAATGTCCAGTGGCCGTGTGCCTGAGGACCATCCTGCTGGGCTGCTGAGCTGGCGGGTGGGTCTCCCTCTGTCTGGAGGCTGCTTTCTCTTCTTCCTCACTCTCGGATCCCATTTTTCAATTTTTCAGATATACGTGTTAATGATGGGAGTATGTGTCTAAATTCCGGCCTCAGTTCCTTGGTTAATTGTAGGAAGGAAGAAGCATGCCTCAATGAGAGACAGGCTCACCTGAACCTCCGTGCACACCCCACACATAGGGCTCTCTTCACTGAGAGCCCAGCGCTCAGTATCTTAGAGAATGTTCTCCTGTGCCATCTCACAACCTGCTAGTGCCCTGAACTCACACCGAAATCTGGCCCCGAGCCAAAAGCCAGGAATGGGGGAAGGGCTTGCCAGGTCCCAGGGACTGTCACTACCTTATTCTTAGCTCCTTGTCCTCTGAGAGGTGTTGTGGCTCTCAGCACAGCGTCTAGCATGTGCTGCTGTGCACTGTACGGCTCTAGGCTGGGTGTCCCCTCTTGTGAGGCAAGAGTTCCACAGGCTGGAGCTTGGCATCAGTGCAGGAGAGGGGAAAGGATGCTCACATGCTCATATTCGGTCTTCCTTGGGATTACTTGGCAAGCAAACTTTTGTTGCTGTTGTTTTTCGAGACAGGGTTTCTCTGTGTAGCCCTGGCTGTCCTGGAACCCAATCTGTAGACCAGGCTGGCCTCGAACTCAGAGATTCCCCATGCCTCTGCCTTCCAAGTGCTGGGATTAAAGGCATGAACCATCACTGCCCAGGGGGAAGCAAGTTTCAATGGACAGAGAAATGCGATTCAGTCTAGTGAGCACATGGGCACCAGCTGTGTGCCTGGCATGGGCAGATAAGGCTGTGTCTCATGGCTTCTGCCCTCTGAGGAGCAGAAGTCTGGAAAGACAGGCCTGCTTGGCTGGGATATAGAATTTTCAGCAATGATAGCCTAAACAACAGTGCTGTGCTCTTGAGCACACATACATAACTGCCCCGGAGAAAACACATGCGCACGCCAAGCGCAGTGCAAACTCCGCAGTGCAGGTGAAGTTCCTAGAGGAGGCTGGAGAGCAGAGGGGCTCTCGTCAGTGGAACAGGGAAGCCCTGGTGGACGCCGGCTTTGAAACACAGCGGGATTTCTCCTTTCTTTTTTCCTTCTTTCTCTTCTCTCTTTCTTTCCTTCTCATCTTCCTCTTTTCCTCCAGTTTCTCTCTTCCTCGTTTTCTTCCCCCTCCTCTGGTGGGCCACTGGAATTACAGGTGTGATCATTCTTTCCTCCCATTGCCTATCTTCAGGGAGGCAGGAACTATCTTGTGCACAAGCCACATACAACCAGGCTAGCCGGCCCAGGAACTTCCCGTCCCGCTGTAGGAATTCTGAGGCTACAGATATGTATGTATGATGTGAATTTCTGACATTGAACACTGTACGTAGGGCTTAGACAGCTAGCTCTTTCCCCACGAAGTCATCTCCCAGCACTCTTTGCGCATATCTGAATGTATAATTTCAAATATTCTATCTTTACATCCACTGATACTTTTTCCTGTTTGACTAGTCTGTGGTTGATGTTTTCTACTAAAATATTTAGCTCAGTTATTGTATTCAGTATTTCTAGGGGATCTAATTTTCTTATCTCTGCCACTTTAATTTTATATTTCTAGTGAATTAAAAATATGTTATCCTTTTATTAGATGTAGATAAAATGTTTCTTAAAAATAAATATTTTTTCATTATGAAAACTTTCAACAAGTTAGATACAGAAAACTGCATCCCATGTAATAAAGGCTTTTTCAGAAAAAAAGCCTACAGCTAACACTTTTCTCAGTGGCAGATAGTTAAAGTCTTTCCGTCAAGATTCAGAATCAGAAGAAAATAGCATGGTTGGCACTTCTTTTCAGCACAGAGTTGGACATCTTTGACCAAAAGGGAAATACTAGGCCATTCAATAACAATTCAGTATCCTTACGTGATTAAAAAATTTCAACAAATCAGCTATTCCAAATTCATTGTTGGTCAATTCATGCATTTCCATTTCTTCAGAGTTTATCTTTTAGAACTTAGTTATTTCTTTCTGCCGTGTTCCATTTCCTGTCTTTTGTGTTCTGTCAGAAGCACCCGTGCACTGAAACAAACAGCGACCCCTTCCAGCCTCCACTGTGCCCTTTGATCCTGGTAGGCCTTCACTGTTTGGTCTTGCCTTCGGTTTCTGCTGTGTTAGTTGGTGGCCCACAACCTAGCTATTGCGGACTTCACTCCTGCGTTCTCCCAGCTGAGCTGGGCTGTAACCTACAGTATGAGGCTGACTTCAACTACAGGCTATGCTCTGTAGTCTGGTGAGGCTCCCTTTGTGAATAAAGATCAGCTTGGCTCTATCTATCCCTGGCCTGGGAGGTTCCAAGGTGAGCATTAAGGCTACACGTGGAAGCCAGGCAGGTGTGAGCCAGGGAGACCACTGACTGCTTCTTAAAGTGTGCTGCTGCTGCTGCTGCTACTGCTGCTGCTGCTGCTGCTGCTGCTGCTGCTGCTGCTGCTGGCTAGTCTCCCTGCTGATACGAATGCAAAATGACTGCCAAGATTGGCATGCTGGTTTCCATGAGCCCACCCTATTCTTTGTCTGCAGCTGAGCCTTGGCATCCATGAGGCCAGACCATGCCACTCAGAAAGGGTCCAAGAATGGTAGAGAACCAATGTCTGCCTCTAATTTTCTCCTCCCTCTGTAATAATCAAAGTACCCTGGAATTGTTTGTGTGTGGTAGTGTTACCAGCTTGGAGAGAGGCAACCCAGTAAAAGTGGTATGGCTCCTTTTATCCTTTGTTTGTGGATATCTTACTCTTTGCATCAAAGCAAGAATCTTTGCCTTGTTTTGGGGGTTTGGCTATTATCTTCTATGGTGGTTTGAAGGAGAATGGCCCTCGTAGACTCCTATGTTTGAATATTTGGTCCCGAGGTGCTGGTACTGTTTGAGATTAGGTGGTGAGGCCTGTCTGGAGGAGGATTGTCATTGGGGTTTCAAAAGACTTAACACCGTTCCCATTATGTCTCCCCCCATTTCTCTCTCTCGTCTCCTGCTTGTGGATCAAATGTGAGCTCAGCTGTTCCCGCTGCCATGCCTATAGTGTTCCATTATGGACTCTAATCCTCTGAAATGGTGAGCTTAGGTTAAATTCATTCCTCTATATGTTACCTCTGTCATGGTGTCTTACATAGCAATTGAAAAGTAACCAAGACATTTCCTCAAAGATGTTCTAGTTTTCTGTTCCCCTTGTGGGACAATTACATGCACATCACCTCCAGGCTATCCCATCACCCATTGCTCTTTCTGCTTTCAGTTATCTTTCCTTCCATTTCACATTGGGTAGTTTGTAGAATCTGTGTCGTTCGTCCCCCCCCCCCACAGTGTCAAATATACCATTAGT